TGTCTCTCTCGCACTCATGGCGCGTCCCGTGTTGGTGCGAGTGAGGCACAGCGACGAAGGCGGCTATCGGAATCAGTCCGCCGCGCGCTGCGTCACGTGGACCCGGCGGCGGTCTATTTGGAGGCAGTAAATCGGGACGCGTCGCGCCGCCGCAGGCCGTCCCAGACTGTCCTGCTGTACACTGACTCGGAGAGACGCTTTCGTCGCGCTGTCTCTCTCGCACGCACGCGGAGCGCCCCATGAGTGCGAGAGAGACAGAGCGACGAAAGCGAATCATAGTCTGCTGTCCGAGACCGTCCGCCATCACCGCTGACGGCGGGGAGATGATATCCGAGGCCGCGTTGGAGGTCGGTTCTGGAACAGCGCTTTCGTCGCTCCGTCTCACTCGCACCCCGGCGGGCCGCCCCTGCAGTGCGAGAGAGACGGACGCCCGATCGCCTTCACTTTCATTGGCAGCAGACTGAATTGGGTTGCGGGAGCGCACTGCCCGCGGCGTGGGCCGGCCCGGCCGCCTTGCTTGCCCCCATGAGCCAGCCCAGCGTCTTCGTCGTTGTGTCTCCCTCGCACTCATGGGGCGTCCCGTATGGGTGCGAGAGAGACAGCGCGACGACTCTCGGAGCAGGCCGTGGCGCAGGCCGTGGCGCAGGCCGTGGCGCAGGCCGTGGCGCAGGGTGAGGGGCGAGAGGCCGCGCCAGGCCTACACCCACGCGGCCACGCGGCCACGCGGCGCGCCGCCAAGCCTAGGCGAGCCTGTTGGGTAACCCTGGAGGTCGCCGCCCCGCAGCCCGGGCCGGGGCCCGCCGCCCGGGGCCACAACACGGTGTGCCTGCAGATGACGACTCGGGGACTTGGGGGCCACACGTTCCTCCCAGCGGAGGCCCTGGTCCTGGTCCAGCGGGCTGATTCCGAGAGTCGTTTTCGTCGCTGTGTCTCTCTCGCGTCCACAGGGACGCCCTACGAGTGCGAGAGAGACAGAGCGACGAAAACGACTCTCGGAATCAGTCTGCTGGTATCCTGGCGTGGCCCCATGCAGCGTCACGGCAGCGTGGGGTCAGCACCGGAGGACTCAGGACGACGAGCTCCCTGGGGCCAGCACAGCCGGGGTGGGCCAGGGCCATGGCCAGGGCTTGGGGTGGAGCAAGGACTCGGCTCCGTGCCAAGACCCACAGGGCTGCAGCCCCCTCTCCGGCCACATGAATGAATGAATGAATGAATGAATGAATGAATGGATGAATGAATGAATGAATGAATGAATGAATGAATGAATGAATGAATGAATGAATGAATGAATGAATGAATGAATGAATGAATGAATGGATGGATGGATGGATGGATGGGTGAATGAGCGGCCGGACGAATGAAAAGGCGCGTGCATGAATGCATTCCAAGGAGAAATAGATGGCGGAATGATAGGATTCGGAGTGAATGGCGGTTTAGGAACCGACGAACGAATGGATGAATGATTCTTGTGATGAAAACAGAACACTGTGTATTTTCGGGGATTCTTTTCTTCTCTGCCAAGACGCAATATCGGCGCGTGATTGTGTGACCCACAGTGTGGGCGCGAGCGTGTGCCGCGCTTCGAGCGCTTCCACGGTCTCTTGGTCTGGCGGCATGGCCGGGCTGGGCCGGGCTCGGTGGCACCCACTCTACGTACAGTAGAGCTGTCCACTGGACGATCGGAATTCGTCTGCTCCAGTCTGCCCAGCTCTGTGGCAGCGGAAGCAAGTGGCGAAGCTCGAACGCAATTCGCGGCGTGGAGTGCGGTCTTCTTACATCGGTGACCGACAAGCTGGCCGGCCGGACGAGCAGGCAGACAGACCGGTCCCTTATTTCGGGCTCCACGGCGAACAAGAACGAGCCCCACTGTGGCACACTGTGGACGCCTTCTTGAGACACCTTGCAGCGCTGTTTAACATTCCAGACACATTAGCTTTACGTGGTTGGCTTCCCTCCCGGGACGGCGACGCGGCGACGCGCACCGAGCCTGAGGCTCGAGAGGCACGACCGCCAGCACGGCCAGCACGCCATGCCGTGACGGCCTGCGCCCAGACACACTACTTAGCGTGAGGAGCGGCTAAGAGGCACAAAAAAACGGCCAGAAAGGAGGGAAAATCAGTGCACGTCGTCTAATTTGTTTACCCATCAGTTCGTTTTTTTTCGGCTGCCTCGGCTCCCCTCCCCTCGGCGGCGCTGCTCCTGATGATGATGGATAAGATGCACGCCGCACTTCGCGTCCCGACGACAGCGCACCGTCTTTGTTTTTGTTCCCCTTCAAGGTGGTGTCATTTTTTCCCCTGGTGCTTTTTGTTGTTGTTTTTAGTTGTTTTTTTTTTTTCATTTTATGCGGCGCACTTAGAGCCCCACTGGTTTTAAAACCGCTCCTCTCGGCTGGCCTGCCGGCTGAGCCCGTGCCGTCCCGGAGACCGTCCCGGAGACCGTCCCGGAGGCCGTGCCGCGTCCACGACCTCGGATAACCCCTCCGCGCGTAACCGCGCGG